AGTTCAAACTGTCAGAAGTCTTGGGGGGGGGGTCCCTTCTAAAGGCTGATTTATGCTTCTGCATCAAATTGACGCTGTGAAGGCGGTATAACCATGGACCCTACACCTAACCTGACACCCCCCAGGAATAAACTACACATCGCGGTGAAGCAGACGGCAAGAACTGTGATTGGTCCGCTTGGCAGCATTCTTTTTTTTTTTATGGGACTGAAGAAAATACTTCCCAGGAGTACTTATACTGTTGATTGAAAGCGAACTGGTATTTATATCCAGCATTAAATTCCCCACCCTGGGCATCAGAGCAATGGGTCTACAAAACACTCAGGATGCCAACACCGATTTAACTTACCTCCATTAAGTTTATTCATATGTTTTGAGGCTAAAAAAAGTGAGAAGTAGTATTTATAAGGGAAAATGCATAAAGAGCGACTTCGTAGCAGCCTGACATTTTTCCAAAATTGTCTACAGGAAGTTTGTAGCAGCACAATAGCCAGGACTTGATAAATGGATACTTTGTTACGAGGTAAATGTTTGTTTTTTTTCTGTTTCAATTGTGTGATTCAGCAATTGTATAAATCGCAGGGTGGGAAGACAATAAGTGCCACATCCGAAACTATGTGTCACGTAGCGTTTTAGCAGAGTAATCGCTGTGCGACACAGATACAGCAGCGCACAGGTAGCAATGCCCATAACGGCGTGGGCCACTTGCATAGGTCACGGCGTATGCTCGACCTCAGCCTTTAGTTTCTGAAGGAGAGCTGGTACTGAATCATATTTTCCCTTGTGATGGGTCCTAGGACCATTATATAAAATCATCTGATCTGGCCTGTCGCTGTTGGATGGGCGGACAATCCGCAGTCACACCCCTGCATCCATTCACCCATCCATAGTCACGGGGGACCTGAACACAGGCAGCACGGGGCACAAGGCTGGGGGGGGGGGGGCACCTTGGACGGGATGCCAGCCCATCGCAGGGCACATAGGTGCTCACACACGCAATCGCACACTGCGGACAATTCAGGGGAGCTTTGCACTGCAGGAGAAAACTCAGATCTCGCAGGGAGGTCGTTAAACCTGCACACCGTCATTCGGTGTCACCCCACAAAGGAGATGAGGTCATCACATCACGCGGTCGATTCAAAAAGGCCGAAGACGTTAAGCGTCAGACGCTGGTGGACACTCAAGCGGACAGACTCACCAGATCAGGAGAGAAAGCTGCGCGGCGCGTTTGGCTGTCCAGACTAGGGCTCTTGATGTGCTTGGTTACGAATGTTACCATGGCAAGGTGCTACGGAGCTGGGATGGGAAGGCGACCGGAGAACCCATCCGTCTGTACACCTCAGCGTCTGTACGGGAGAGACCGCACCGTTACCATCACCGGGACACCAACAGCGGCGTGCTCACATCACAGCCATTACCCCACCTGTGGGAGGGGGGGGGGAAAACTCATTCATACAACTGTTAATGACTCTGGAGCCAATATGACCTCAGAGTCAAATTTTAGAGCCTGGATTTTGGCTGGTTATCAGGCTGCATCACTGCAATTTCACAGCATTAATTTTGTCCCCTAATCATCCCACAATTGTCTAGGTGTTTTTTTTAAAAAAAATCTTCCACCCGTTTGATGCTGCTTCATAGCTTATCTCGTCTCCATATTATACATAAAGAAGACTAGAAAGTCCGTTTTAAATCGACAACCACTCAAAAGTTGGCAGCCGACATTCACCTTACTGATGCACAGAATTTAGCCAGTGTCAACTCCACTGATTCTCTCATGTGCCTAATGGAAGAATTAATGTTACTACAGCCTTCTAGGTTGTTAATTTAGGAAACAGCCCACTTAATAGACCAAACGGAAGGTGGAGGACTAGTTATATTTGAATTCAAAGGAAGAATAATAATAATTATTATTATAATTATAATGCTATTATTGCAGAATTCTCAGTGCTTCATTTGTAAACTCAGATGCTGGAACACATAAAGACCATGATGACATCATACACACAAATCAATCTTTAACAGCGTTATTGCGCTATTATTCATTTGAACACGCAACAATGTAATATTTTCTATCGACACCTGTTAGTTACATTAAACGTTTCATCTGCGTTGCACTTTTCTCAATCCTTCTCATTAGCATTATCACCCACAAGCGCCGCTCCTCGCTGTATCTGCTTGTTCTTCCGTCAGATGTTCTGGTTCATTTCTGCGCTGCTCGGTTTCTTGGTTTCTGATGACTCTGTTGATTTACCAAAAAAATTAAAATAAATCAAAATATTACTCTATTTTCAACATTTTCTTTCAGTTGTTTTGCTATAACGACCTGGCATGTAGCCTCACCTTTTTCCTGCATTTTGTGGTGCGATTTTTCAGTCAGATAAGTCAGCTAAGTAAAACAGAGGCCTACTAATTTAGTCGGATGTCAAAAAAAATGATACAACATAATAGATTTAATACATACACACACAGACTACATTGAGCCAGAGGTCCGATAGATTTGGCACAAATTAAGTATTGAGTATTTAAAGATGTTTCATCCATAATTATTTAATTAGTCTAACACAATTGCATAAATAACAATGCAATAATAAATAATACATAATTTTATCGTCTTATGATTTACTTTCTCAAAAACACTAAAATAACTGATGCTTGAGGAAAAAGTATTTAAAAAGATATCGATTTCTGCTCACAATTTAAGGTTTAAAACTGTATCCTGCACGTAACTGAATCCCAAGTAAAAAGTGCATGTTGTTTATAAACATAACATTTCAACAGATTCGCTCACCCAAGGAAGAGAAAAGCACAAGCCCAAACGTGCAGATAGCAGCCTATGTAGTGTAGCAGAGCATAGTGATTGCCCTTCATCACTTTACACATTGCCTGTGGTTCTGAACAAAAATCTACTGTCTTACAAAAATACAGAACTCTTAAATTAATTGTCTTCCAGAAATCGATAGTTGTAGCACCCTCATACTATCTGGAGTAATCTGCAACCATTTCTTCATTCCACAAAATATTCAGAACTTCTCTAAAGATAATTGGCCTATTTCCTCCATTCATTCATTCATTCATTCATTCATTCATTCATTCTGAGAATGCTACAATGGAAAAGCTGCAGGCCAGGAGCCCAGAAGAGACAATGGCATTTGTGTATGTTATTAATGTCTCAGGCCGGGGTGTTTCCATACAGATCTACAGGTGGGTGGAAGATGCATTACAGGATGACAGAACGAAAGCAAAGCTAATGCCCCCTTCTCATATGAAGCACCCCCCGAATTAACATCCCAGATACAAATTTTCATCTGGAACATAAAATAACCATCTATGGGGAAATACAGTGCTGATATAGAGGGAAATAAAAACAAATGCCCAGTAATAATAATAATAATAATAATAATAACAACAACAACAGTGAGTGAATGAAATGAATGCATGAATTTACTACTACTACTACTACTATTATTATCATTATTATTATCATTATTATTATTATTATTATTATTAACCATCTGGCCGAACTATACATTTGGAAGCCTGCCCCTGATACGCCGTATTAACACGGACAACCCAACCTTAAATTTGCACATTCCCTACATTGACATGGACGTACAAAGCTGCACATCACCATGCCAAGCGGACAAAGCCAGGTAAACCGTGGCCATCTCACCGGGCACCTGTCACCTCCGCCTGACGCCTCGACACGTGACCTGGCGTCGGCACGCGCCCGCACCGCGCCGGAGCTCGGGTCGGCGTGAATGAACGTAGTCCCCTCGGCGGGTTGCCTTGGCAACGACACCTGGCAGAATGGGCTGAACCGAGGGGCTGAAGGAGGGATGGCTGCACACGCACAGCCCCGATGTCACAAAAACCCACAGCGAGGCACGGTGCCTGTAAGCAGCGGAGCAGCCGTCGCCATATTCCCGCGTTAAGCGCTGGCGGAATGAGTTTGCCGTACTGGCAGGATAAATATGGCTCGCTTGTCGTTGCTGGGTGTTTGTGTCAATAACGGGGCGCTATTTTTAGATGCTCGCTGTATTAGCGGGGCTGATGGCTGCTCGCTGCCACGAGCCCGTTCAAAACAGAAATGACATTAAATATGCATTTAAAAATGAAACCATTTAGTCGTTAATTTAATATTGATATAAAACAATTATGCGCCTAAAATGGACCAAATCATACACCATAAACGTAAACATGCAATAAATATAAAACAAGCATATGGCTAGCCAGACGCTAGCTATTACCAATTTAAAGGCCATTGATATAAATTCGCGATCTCTAAATTCATGTTCTATTTGCACACTTGGAGCGCCAGCTAGTACCCCAAAAAAACGTGACAAAATCGCAACATTTCAAAATGGCTTCAGTTAAATGCCTGGCTGGTTAGCTCGTGAGGGTTTTGCATCAATGCAGCCCTCGATACATGCAAAGGATTAACAACCGCGTTGACCAGGCTGAAATGCATAGTACGCTTTTTGTATCGTCCGCTCGCGCAATATTTACCTTGTCAGCCTCCTTTGCAAAGAGGAGCACCACGAAGCTACGTCCTCGGGCCTTAGACTAACCTTTAATGTTGCTAGTAAGGTAGCAGGTTAGCAGGGGATAAACCATCCGGGAAGCGCAACTGCAATATACGGGTTTCCAGCGTTTCCACTTTAAGACATAACGAGACAATTGTGATTCATTATCAAGCCACGCAAACGAATTACAAAAGGAAAAACGCATTAATCAAATATTTTGATTTGTACCGCTTGAAGGTATATATATTTAATCCATCTGGGTGACTGTGGTAGATGCGCTCTGCCCGTAAAAATTCATTCGTTCGCCCGACGTCTGAAATTCATAAACACATCGTAGGTGTTCCTGGAGGAGGGTGGGGAATATACATTATAATACATTATTGCAATTAAATAATCAGAGGATAATGATACATTTATTTTTATTCTCGTCGTATTCTTAATTTATATTTATTAATTTGAAAATATGTTTGATATTACAAGGATAATTCCCGCACTGGGAAATTAAAAAAAAAAATCATAAGGGCTAGCTGTTTGGATGATGGGTAGTGTAGTTTACAGAGAAACCGTAGCGAAAAGTAGCAGCAATTTATTGTGGAAATTATTAATGAGTCCCTCGTGGTTTTATTACTATTTTAATGATGATAATGGAAAGGTTATGGAAGCCAACAAAAGAACGCTTTCCTGAGCACAGTCCTAAATGAACACAGGGTGGCAGGGTCGACCTACTGTTTCGGATATAGAATTATATTGGAGTGTGAAATAACGGTTAACATTTCTTAATTTAAAAGGTCATACATATTTCCAGTTGTTCCCAATCATATTCGTATTAGAACTACCCTTGTAATCTGTCTCATGTAATCAGGGGTAATGCATTTAAATGCCGGAGCTTTGTACTCCGGTTGTTTTAAATTTCAACAATTTCTTCTATATTAATCCAGATGACACCGGATGGCCCAAAAAAGAAAAATAAATACAGAAGTCTATTGGGATTTTTTTTTTATTATTTTCTATTCCAACGACAAGTTTCATAGCATAGGCTACAGATAATTCGGGGATTTCCTCATATCCTTTGAATTCCGTTCGAGACACTTAATCTGACGTTAACAAGAGTTGCGTGTCTGTGTGGGTAGCACGGATTTTTCCATCCAAAACAAGAACAAAATACAGCAAGTTCGAATGCAAAACGTCAACCACGGACAATATCATATGTGTTATGACAGTTAGGCTACATGTGTTATGAGAAATTTAGATTCCTGTATTGTCTTACAATCTATCACGTGTTTATTGTTTGGTTCTTCGTAACCCAGTAAAATAATAAACGCACAATCAGCAGATGTTTTACGGAAAAAGTGGTGCGACCGTTAGACAAAATCTACCTGAGGCGATCATGCATCCATGTTACATCTACCTATTCTGCATATAGTCACAGAGGTACCAGTGTCCTGAATCCTATCACAGACAACAATGGACTCAAAGCAGGGCAATCTGAAATAGGGTGACCAGATAATTCCTGTCAAGGGGGACACTTTTAGCCAGGGCAGGATTTGTAAACTACAATTTCAATCAAAAGGACTTGAATTTCATTTAAGCACTGAGTTCTTGCTGCGTGCTGATTGGTCAGTCTCCTATAATCATGCATGTGTCACTAATATTAATGTGAAACAGCTGGATGCGTCTTTCATTCAAGGAAACAAACCAGACAAAGCAGAAGAAGAGCTGAACTATTTAGCCAAACACAGGAGCCTTTCGGTTTTAAGGTAGTTTGTAAAAAAAAAAAAAATGTCCATGACGACATAGATTATCTGATCACCCTAATCTGAAAGGAATGTCAAAATTCATTGCTGGGCGCGCGCGCACACACACGCAGACACAGACACGCACAGACTGCAGGTAGGCTAATGAATTACGGTTGTATTTCATAAAGGGTGAAATCGTAGTGCTGTAGGAAGCATTTTAACAGAACAACACAACTCCGGGGTTTCCTTCACCTGCTATGGGCTGCGGGTGTGAAATTACCAGATATTCACATTATTCATGTAGGTTTCCACACTCACATTCAAAAAAATAGGCGCTAAGGTGGTGCATCTAAACAGCTCATACTTTCTATTTGTATGTAGAACATGTGTTTTATACTTCCTGGGGTCGACTACGATCCTCACTGCATCCCCGCATTTGACGAGCAACTATATGCACCACGAAAGAATATGTAGATTACTTTGAACATTCCAGGACATATTTAGCAAGATACCACAGAAATCTTAATAAGGTGCTGCTGAATGAATAGCCATGTTAGAAAACCAACCTATAAAAGGCGGTGATGACAGAAACCCACACGTAGTGGGCTTATTGTGTACCCATCGCGACTGTACGATCTAACCAATCAGTTATTGATGAGTCAACCAATAGGAAAAAGGCTAAATCAGCTGACTGTGCACAATAATCACATCCTCTGTGAGTTTCAGACTCATTTCTTTCACCACTTTTTAGCAAGTCCTATATATCACCTGCATTTTTATGCACCTGTATTACACAAACACATTAATATCTTTTCCGTATATCATTTAAATACGCAATTCATTCGTTTTTATCTTTCACTTGTAGCCAGTAAAATATGGAAAATAAGTAAAATAAACGAGGTTTTAGGATTATTGTAGTTTTCTACCACACCTCGCTACAAAAATAGCGTAGAAATATATGTGCAGATTAGCACTGGTGCGCTAGCAATGCACTAGCAGTAACTCATGGCACTGTCACTTTAATTTTATATAAAGTTAATTCCATTATCTCTCCCGCTAATATATTATTTTTACTATTTAAATTTTTTCATTATTTTTATTATTTTGCTTGGAGCAGGCTAGCCTTTCATTTCACTACCAAGTTCTACCTGTATTATTATGTGTGTGACAAATAAACTCTTGAATCCTGAACCTAATGATCTGGTCGATCCATACAGAGATGAATCAGACGCACCAGCTTCTCAGGGTGTTTTGATGTCCGTGACAGTAACAGGACACAGCAGGAGGTGAAGAAAAAAACACATAGCACGTGATACTTTTTGAGTTTATATTTTTCAGAAGAAGAGAGGTTCATTTAAGCATTATCGGTAAATTAATTGTTAACTAACTGCAGAAAATGACGTGTCAACAACAAAATGCAGCGCATCAATGCTGTCTGCGTTTCGTTATGAGTAGTGATTGCGTTCGGAGCTGCGTGATTGAGTTCACTTCTCTTTTTTTAATAAATTCTCTACTTATAAATTAGATTATTGTGCACTTGTTACAGGTCAGCAGAAGTCAGGATGCAACCACTGAAAGATCTAGCAGTCCTGTTTATATTATTGATATTAATATAATGAAAAGTCCAAAGGCCAATATGTTGCGTTTTTCTCTACTGATCTGGGATCCTCACTATGTTGATTGGTTTTTGTTTCTGCCTAAGGCCTAATTATGTTTGAATATGATTTGACCCACTTGCTACTTAAGGAGCCCAAGTAATTAGCCAAGGAGCATTATAGAACTAGAATAATCTGAATTATATGTCAAATGTTACGTTTTAGAGCTAGAAAGCAATCAGCTTATATTAAATGAAAGTCTTCTACCATTAAAATACATTAAAAAATAGGAAAAAGAACCAAACGGGTATAATTTGTAATATCTAGGCCTAATTGTGACATACAAACTAAATATGGGTTCACAAGAAAACCAGCCTACAGTGAGCTCCAAGAACTAAGAGTATCGAACATCGGTTTAATGAGACATTCAGCTAAAACAAAGATGCATTAGTACTGTTTAATTCGGTGAAACATGATAGTAAAGTAGGAAATTAATGCAATTTACAAGACACTGTGGCAGAGGTTTAAGTAATAATTAGTATTATCGTATATAAATAATACGAGACTCATCTGGTTTACTAGAACATGGTAAATATTTAACATTTTAACATGTAATTGAATCTATCATCTCGTGTTCCTATTTCCAGACCGCCCGCTATTCTGACATCATTTCCGGCGCACATCCTCGAGACCAGACACTGCTACCAATATGGCGTCCGGCAGTGGGGTAAGTTTTCTGTGTGCTGTCGTGCATTTTGCCGTTTTGTTTCGGAATTGTTTTGGTAATATTTGTATTGTTATACGGAATACGGAAGCTAGAGTCCCTTTACACGTATCTTCAGAACGAGCAGCATGTAGTTTTGGGGAAAAGAAAGTTATAAAGTGTCATAAGCAGCTATACAGTATAAGCTCTACTGGCTAAACAACATTTAGTGGTTAGATAATTGTGACTATTATTTAAAATATAATGCCGCGTTTAGTGATCTGCTTAAATAACTATGTTTCAAACCTGAAATGTTAATGGAAAACAGGTTCATATTTGTGAAAGGAATATGCCGTTTGTATGCGATAGATATGTTTCGGCTTCCGTGTGAAAATTCACAACAACAAAAATTCACAAAGGTTTTAACGTTTGTCTTTGCACAAGAATAAGAATGACTTTCGGAGAAAGTGGGATAAAGATGAGTACGAGCAGCTGGCCCAGAAACGCCTCACCGAGGAGCGCGAGAAGAAAGATGGTAAGATTGCGTGTTTAGTGTTTACCCGACGTCATCGTAGCCGGTTTTCGGTGGGGGGACTGGACGGGTGGAGTGCTTGATTCTGATTCTGTAATGAAATCAATCGCTAATTCCAATTTTGCCTCTTACCCTAAGCTAGTGTGCTTAAGTGTTTGTATGTATGTTGCGTTTTTCGGAGTGATTTTTCTGTATATTTCTGTAACAGAATATAATAATTTTGTGTATAGCTAAAATGTTTACAATTTTCTGTCGCAAAAATTGAGGTTCAGCAATAAAACCTCAAATATGAAGCAGCTTCTTTTTCTTTTGCCCTCTTAGTTTCAAACACCATAAGTTGGTATAACAATGCACCCCCTCCCCCCTCCCCCCTCCAGGAAAACCGGCCCCCCCTGTCAAGCGGGAGCTCTTGCGACACAGGGACTACAAGGTTGACTTGGAGTCCAAGCTGGGCAAGACCATTGTCATCACAAAGACAACGCCACAGGCTGAAATGGGCGGGTACGTTTTGGGACAAATGGATTGGCCCACTAATGCAGTGCCCTACATTTCTGTATTCTAAGAGTCATTTTTGAATTCAGAGATCAGTGGTCATTGACACACCACAGTGCACAACAACTAAATGTGTCCTCTGCATTTAGCCCATATGTGACATAGCAGGGGGCAGCTAATTCAGCACCCGGGGAGCAGTGCTTGGGGGCGGTACCTTGCTCAGGGTACCTCAGTGGTGCCTTGCTGGTCGGGGATTCAAACCAGCAATCTTTCAGTTACAAGTGCGCTTCCCTAACCTTCAAGCCATCACTGCCCATGAGTAATTTCCTGTAGTAGAAAGGGTTGTAGCTGGTTTGTAGCCACATAGCAGATTTACAGGTTTAATGCCCCCCCTTAAAATTTCTGCCTGTGGGCCTGCTTATAGATTAGTAATGATGCACAGTTCTCTAACCTGCACTCTTCTGTCCATCCAGCTACTACTGCAACGTCTGTGACTGCGTCGTAAAAGATTCCATCAACTTCCTAGATCACATCAATGGCAAGAAGCGTAAGTGTGACGGAGCAGCGGCTGCCGCTTCGCAAGGGGGGGGGGCGTCTTACTGAGGTCCATTTTGGGGAATTTTACTTTTGAAACGGCAGCCATTTTCAGGGACTTCCAGTGGGCAATTCTAAGGGTGCCACGATTCATCAAGTGTGGACTTATTGTGAAGGGATGAGTGAGAGAGGAGACAAAACACAAAAGCTGTAGCCTTTGAAAGGGTTTTGTTGGTATAATAGTTGTTAAATGTAAAATTAGCCTTGTAATTGTACTTCACAAGTAAAATTGACTTGCCTCCTTTATATAATAAGCAGACGATACAGAAAAAGAGCAGTGATTACCTCCTGAATGGAGTACAGGTCACAACTGAGGCCGTACTAATGTCCCCCCGTAGACCAAAGAAACCTGGGAATGTCCATGAGAATCGAGCGCTCCTCGCTGGACCAGGTCAAGAAGCGTTTCGAAGTCAATAAGAAAAAGCTGGAGGAGAAACAGAAGGAGTATGACTTTGAGGAGCGCATGAAGGAGCTACGGGAGGAGGTCAGTGATGCAGGACCTTGGTAAATGCAGCATGAAATATTAACATGTTTAAATATATTACATTAGCCTTTATGTAAGGTGGTCAGCGATCAGTAACAAGGTAAATTCAGTTGATTCATATTTGACTTCACTGACAAAGAATTGACAAAGAAAATGTCTGTGTGGAAGATACGTGAATGAACTTTTATTATGAAACCGATTAACTTGCAACATTAACTGGAAGTAAAGACCTCCTGCGCCCTGCGTGTATACATACATATTGTTAAATTCATACTTTCCTTTTGTGGTCGTAGGAGGAGAAGGCAAAGGCCTACAAGAAGGAGAAGCAGAAGGAGAAAAAACGAAAAGCAGAGGAGGACCTCGCCTTCGAGGAAGATGACGAGATGGCTGCCGTGATGGGCTTTTCCGGCTTTGGCTCCTCCAAGAAGGGCCACTGATGGCATGGAGTTCGTCCACAGAACTGCAGGCTCTGAATTCCAGCACTCAGACGCCCCCCCCCTTCCTTTTTGTTGAGAGAAGCAGTAGTCGGTCCCTTCTCGGCGACCTGTGGGAAGCCGCGGCCTTGATTACTTCCTCCACTGACTCCCCACCACTGCTGTGTGTCGCATAAGGGGGGGGTTACAGCCCAGATTCCGGGCACTGATTAAAAATAATGGGAAAGGGTTTTTTTATTGTTATTTAAAGAGTAAGTTGAGTTGGCTGTGTGAGCATGCAGACTTTCTTTGCAACTCGTTCCACACAGTTGGCTGAAAACTTAAAACCGTCTGTGGGGGGGACATCTTAGTTTTTATATATCGAGAACGAAACCCATCCCAAAACGTCCTCCTCACGCTTAATATTTTGACCAGCTTAGGATCTTCACATGTATAGTGTAAGAGATGTGCAAGGAGCCTCTGTGTTCTGTGCTCCTTGTTGGATCAAGGGAAGTTTGATTTAATAAACAGCGCGACTTTTGTGCAAGTTCTCTGCCTTTTCTGTGACTGTCAGAATGAGCCTGCCCATTGTTATAGCTTAATACCACTGAATTGTATCGTTTTGTCTCATCGTTACAAAATGAATTTTATTTTCCGGGGTCATACTGGCTGATGCAGTACGGAAATTTGTCCAGTAAAATCCAAACAGCGGTAGAGTTAGTTACCAGCTGGGGAGTAGAACCAGCAGGCTGCCTCTGTCTCGTTACAGTGAGTTTGGCGGCACTTGAGTCTGTTTACATGGTGATGACTATGCAGATGCTCCTTTACTCGCGAACGAGATACGTTCCGAACGGCCGTTCGTAACTTGAGATGTTCGTAAGTCGTTATTCAACATAATCTTAAGGGTATACGCAAGTACAAAGAACTAGGATGCTGGGAGTACGCACGCTACGTTGTAGCGCGGCGGGAGTAGCGGCCAGAAGTCGTGCTAGGTGGAATTGGCGTGCAGAAAAAAAATATATATCTTGCGGACAGGAAACGGGAGCCCAATGGACATAATTTGGACTTATAGTCCTCTTCGTTCGTATGTCTGAAAGTTCGCAAGTAGAGGAGCGTCTGTATATTATGTCTGGCCTGGTCAATATTGCCATTTAGTGTACACTGAGCATTCTTTGCCGGAAACATTTCTTCTTGTGGTGACGTGTAGTAAATTTCTCACTTTTTTTTTCTCCTCCATTCCTTTCACACGCTGGCTTACGTACTGTGCACTGAAGGTAGAGTGGAGCTTTTTTTTCAGAATGAGAACCAACTTTATTTGCCAAAATGTGCTGGGGCACACAAGGAATTTGGTTCCGGCTGTTAGAGACTCCCTAGTACACAGTACAAACAAATTACACTATACAAGAAATAAAATAAATTTAAATTAAATTAATTCTCAAGAAAGTAGGGTTAGATAGTGCCTAGAACAGGGGTGTTGAACTCCGCTCCTGCAGGGCCAGAGTCCTGTTCCACCGCAAACGATTCAGCTCAAGGGCTGTACCGTAATCAGCCAAGGAGTTGAATCAGGTGTGTTAAACAAGGGGAAACCTAAAAATGTGCAGGGCTCCGGCCCCCCAGGACTGGAGTTTGACACCCCTGCCCCAGGACAGTTCCTGAAATTTCTTCTCTGCCAGATATTCCGTGATCAACTGTAAGTGGTATGATTGCAAAGTGGAAGCGTTTAGGAACAACAGAAACTCAGCCATGAAGTGACAGACCAGGTAAAGTAACAGATGGGGGTCTCTGAGTGCTGAGGCGCATAGTGTGTAAAGGTCACCAACGCGCTGTTGACTCGGTAACTACAGAGCTCCAAACTTCCTCTCATTAACCTCAGCACCAAAATTGTGTGCGGGGAGCTTCATGGCCGAGCAGCTGCATGCAAGCCTCACATCACCAAGCACAATGCCAAGCGTCGGGTGGAGTGCTGTAAAGCACAATGGCACTGGGCTCTGCGGCATGGGGAGTGTGTTCCGTAGAGTGACAAATTATGCTTCTCTGTCTGGCAGTCTGATGAATGAGTCCTTTGGCAGATGCCAGGAGAGCGTTACCTGCCGGACTCCATTGTGGTAAATCTAAAGTTTGGTGGAGGAGGGATAATGGTATGGGGTTGTTCTTCAGGGGTTGGTCTAAGTCCCTCAGTTCCAGTGAAGGGAACTCAATGCTTCAGCATGCCAAGACAATTCTATGCTTCCAACTTTATTGGAACAGTTAGGGGAAGGCGGCCCTTTTCTGTTCCAGCATGACTGTGCCCCAGTGCACAAAGCAAGGTCCTTAAAGACATGGTTAGGTGAGTTTGGTGTAGAAGAACTTGATTGGCCCACATAGAGCCCTGACCTCAACCCCTTCGAACACCTTAAACTAGATAAATTAGAACGGAGATTGTGAGCCAGGCCTTCACGTCCAACATCAGCGCCTGACCTCACAAATGCTCCTCTGGATGAGTGGGCAAAAATTCCCACAGACACTCCAGAATCTTGTGGAAAGTCTCCCCAGAAGAGTGGCAGCTGTTATAGCTGCAAAGGGGGGGGGCAACTCCATATTGATGCCTATGGATTTAGAATGTGATGCCATACAAGTTCCTGTAGGTGTAATGGCCAAGTGTCGCAATACTTTTGTCCATATAACGTAAATAATCAGCCAAGACGCCACATCAATAAAGAGGAGATAGACAATGTATCTCTTTGGCTTTGCTCTTCTGCTCTGTCAAAGCAGGAGCTTCAGCAGCAGGTTCTTCTGGTTCCTGTCACGTCACGTCTAGTCAGCTGCACGCCATGCAGTGGCAGATCGAAACATGCGAGTCCGAGCTGAGGATTGACGACCGCGTTGAGATACGTAGAACGTATAAGGACTGATTCAAGTGGTTTCAAAAGTAGCAAAGTAAAGTATTCAAGAAAGGGCAGTCTACACCCCCCAATAAAAAAGACCACATTATAGTCTGACATTTTATAAATTCATAAAGCAGGATTGGGGCTGTTAATTTGGTTCCCACAAAGTGATCATTTATAATGTCACACAAATTGCAGCCCACCTGAGAGACTCGGGGAGTTTTACTTACACAAAAATATCTTGAGGGCAGAATGAAAAATGATTGGTTCAGAGAGACAACTAATTATATTTTAGAGGATGCGGGTCCAAGTCATCTGATTGGTTGGTCTGACATCTGACCAAGATCTGATTGGTTAACATTTTTGTGTAAGTAAAACTCCTATGAGCTCCCGAGTGGCAGAATGGCAGCTGAAAATGTAATTGCATCAGCTCAGCCAGAACACTCTTTGCACTCCACCTGAAGGCATAAGCATAGCCAGAAGCTGCTCAGGGTGGTAACCACAACAGAGAAGAGGTCTAGTCACATCACCAGCACCTAAATCCTCACTGTGAGAAAAGTTAATCTCAGTCCAGCGTGACCCAGTTTGGTAACCAGGTAAAGTACAGACTGTGGTTAGTGAACCAGCTGGCAGTTTTCAGAGCAACTGGTTAATTTCCAAAGATTATATATATTTAGAATTTTTATGTCCCCACATGTTTGCACATTCTGTTCACACCTGAAAAAATAGAAATGAACTATTCACCAGACAATCTGCACGAATGAAAGTGGTCTGCGGACATGGTGAGTTTGGGAATCCCTATGTGAGAGGATGGACTAGGCTTAAGGATCCTCAGGCACTGGTGCCTCATACTGGGAATGAACGGCTTTGGGACAGGCGTGCTGGTGACAAGGGAGGGGAAGCAAGGCAGCAAAAACGGACAAAAATGCGGTGAGGAGAATGACGGAGTGCAGACTCAGCAGTGTGACCATGAGCAGCCCGAAGCGAAACACTCTGAGCGGCGGAGAGGGACTTTTCCATAACCAAGTTACAAAAAATGTGTCATTTACAAGGCATGACATCAGCACTGGGGAAGTTACTCACAAAAGTAATCCAATACAGATAGTTTATGTCCAGAAAGTACTAATACAGACCAAGGTTTTGTTTCGACCAACCAGTCCAGTATAAAGAGTCATAGTCACAGAGTACTTAACTGGTTGGTCGAAACAAAACCTTGGTCTGTATTTGTACTAACCTACCTTTTAGCAAGCAAGTCCACTCTTTTCTGGTCTCAGTGATGTTAGTTCGCGTGGGACGGGCCAGTTGACCTTGAGGTTTTTTTTCTCCTTACTTAGTAGTTTTTGGTTCCTCTCCTCCGTTGTCTTCTGGCTTTATTTATTTCTTTCCTTCCTTTTCCCCATTCTGTATTTCTCTCTAATGATGTTCCATCTATCACAACACATCCGTGTAAAGTGCTTTAGGACGACTTTGCTGTGAAAGGCGCTATATAAAAGTAAATTGAACTGAATACTTTCTGGACCTGAACTGTCTGTAACGGAGTACTTTTGTGAGTAACTTCTCCAACACTGCGTTTCACGTTGTTTTCATGTTCTTTCAATGTTTGCCTGCCCCTGCGACCCTGCGCTGGGTAAGCACCTGGAAAACAAATGAATCGATGGATTATCTGTTTATTAAAGTGAGATACATAAGTGAGGCAATTCAAATGCTGAGCAGTTTGGCTCCTCCCACTGCAAGACTGGAATTCGTCTCCCCCTCCACTGCACTGGAGTCGCAATACTGTTAAGGGTGTGCAAGCCTGCTGTCTAGGGGTAGGGGTGGGGGTTTGGGGGTGCAGGAGGGTCAGTGTTCCTCATGCAGGGGGCCTCTTGAAATTATTTCATCTCAGTCCCAGGAATTATGCACACCAGCCCAGAGATTATGTATGCATGTGTGTGTCATGTTTAGATTATTTTTTAAATATCTTTAATATTTATTTACCGTTTATCACTGTTTTCTTGCACTATGACCGACGAGATCGTAATTTATGTCAGCGTGACCCATGGATCATACAGCCGAAATTGACAATAAACATATTTTGATTTTGATAATGAAGTAAAAAAATATATATATAGTCGACTTTCCTCTTAATTGCACAAATTCTGGTCACAGAGAGCAGGTATTCTTTGACAGTTGTGGTTTCTGCGTTTGTTGCAAAATGCATCCCCTTCAACCTACACTCACAGTGGAATAAACGGTGCAAGGCACAAAGAAAGGTCACCGGAGCAAGCGGGCGTGCGAGGACACCGGCTCGCAGCCTCCGGCGGTGACCTTCCAGCCCTGGATTTTTCCGAAACTGTCCGCTGCGCTCCACAGCCGCGTTATCGTCCGGACGCGCGCGTGACGATCTGCCGCTGCATGGCGTGCAGCCGACCAAACGCTCCAAAATTAGCTCATGGACACGACAGAGGACCTCCTACTCGCTGACGCTGGCTGATAGGAAAACGACACGCTCCGTTTCAACGCCGTGATACCGTGTCTGTCTGAAAAAAAACTGTTGGAACAAAAAGGATGTAAAGGGTGAATTTTTATTTACATTTTAGTGTAAAAATATCGTAACTCAAAACAAAAAAGCCTAAAACATTCTAGATGGTGGCTGAGATGCTGGCTTATTATCAACGCCATCTTGACATGCACACATCGATGTCACAGGCCTCTATGTGAGTATGGCACTAATACACCCTGACTCACTCTGATTGTGCGTTGCACAAACACTCGTGGAAAAGAGCCGGACTGCCGCTCAGTGTGTTAGAGTAGGCATTTATAAATACTATTCCACTTTAATTGTCCCCCCAGTTGGTGGTGGGGGCAGGGAGGCTCAGGATAGGGTAGTATTATGTGCAAAATGGGAAATTTGACCTTCCTAATTTCATGCATGTCATGCAAGTATAATTATCACATTGGCAGTGGCATAAAACCAGGAGGACGTGGGAGGGGCGTGTTACCCCCAAAAAATTTAATTTCACATCATTCATCCCCCCAATAAATAGACCTTTCAAATTAAATGATGACATTGTGACCCCCCAATATCAAACTCACCCCTACGCTATTAATCACCGGGCAAATACAGACATGTTACTATAAGAAAGGTCGATACAGTTTGATATGTTGCTGTTTTCAGTGGTAACTTGGATGGCAGGATGGACAATGTTGTAATTCCTTGGTGTATAAATGGAATAGAAAATGCTGTGTGAGTAGACAGCGGGGATCCGTTGGCTGTGAGTGGCAAGGCGTGTAAAACAGGTGATTTCGCTGTTTGTCGCGCCTCTGCTCCGACCGCTGTGTCTGTGAGACCTCGCTTGATCTCTGTCTGAGCATCCAAAATAAAAACAGCAATTTGACTAAAGCGTTTTTCTCCAGAAATGAAAGCTATTGTATCCTAGAGATTGCCCTGCTTGCCAAGGTGAGTGTTACATAAACTTTGTGCATTTTTTTCATCAAAATACCAGTATTACGTCTTGATGAACTGGTATACCAGCGTATAGTGTGATTTCTCTTACACCAACTCATACTTCCTCTTTCTGGCAACACTGTCATCAACAGGAAGCCAAGGAGGAAATGAGATCTGTCGTTTTTCTTCTTTTTAGAATCATCTGCCACCTCTTGATTCCGTCTCTGCTCCGCTCCGTTCCACTCTCCCTCCGGGTCCGCTCTACCCTTGGGGGCCGACTTCTCGACCATCCTCGCCCACTGATGGACGTCGTCGCTCTCGCCAGCCGCCAGCCGTTCGCCCTCGCCGCTGCGACGATTTCGCAAGAGGAAAGCTTTTAAGTAACTCCAGTCCTATTGCGTGTTTTTCTCAGCTACTCCTTTGATGTCCATTATGGTGTAACCGTTTCCCTTTAGCTACGTTGCTCTAGAATGACGCCGGCATTCTTTCTCGCATAGATTACGGTCCAGACCGCAGTTTGTCTTCTCGACAGCGGACGGAGGAGTAGCTCAGGGCGTAGCAGCGTTGAACGAGGAACCATTTTCTACGCGGCCTCTGTGGCAGCCATGCTGGCACGGCGATAAATGAACACAAAGTAGAAGTCACGTTATTTCCGATTATTTTTCTACGAGGATAATTCAAGGACACTCATCTTGGGGCTCAAATATTAATATACCGCCGTTACAATGAGTTTCGATCAAGTTCCCTCCAAGTCAGAGGTTATGAGCTGGAATCCGCCGCGGTTGGCGGACTACTTGAGGAAGGTAAGCGCTCATTGTGTTTCTGACTTCTTCGCTCATGCAGTTTGGCCAATGTGCCTGGGCCGCACTAAAAGAATATTGTGTGTCGGTTGTACCCTTGAATCTTTATGTCGTTTGGTTCGATCTTTGACTTCAGACAGGATGTGGTTAGGAATAATGTCCGCTGTATCTTTAGCTCTGTGGGTCATTCATTTCGGTCTTTTTTTGTGCATGCCTACATATGTTGAAACTGCTCCATCCAACATGTAAGATCAGACTCGCAGCCACGAAAATGATTCAATGGGTTTATGTGACAGTGCCTTCAGAATAAAATAGAATATTTTTGAGCCCCCAGTGCCTAGGAACCCCAACACATATGCAGATAAAGATGTAGGATTTGAAAAAGAAAAAAAATAACGGCATGATAATTTCACACAACATGACCTCAACAGTAAGCTGGAATGTCATTTTGGGAAGTTGACAAAGGAAACTAATTATTCATTTCTGTTTTGGCCATACAATGTGTAACCAGATGGATAATTAAATGTGAGCCAGGTACTGATTTCTTCAGAGACGAATTTTAATGTATTTTTTGCCAAAACATTAGAGCTTTAACAATTCGGGGCATTAGAAGTTAGGTGCGTTGGGATGCTAACTGCTGTAACAATACGTTTAATTATTAAATTTATCGTTATTATGCATTAACGTTAAACCGTTAATTGAAACATCTGTATCTTAAGATAAGATGAACTAGCTATTTGTCTGTATAGTTTATATTTTAAGTATATTTCCAGTATACTCCAGGTCTGAGTCACTTCGTAGAGAATGCATGTTGTCCTTTTTCGGTCTTGTGAGCCCCGCCCAGCTACCCAAGTTCCAACTTAGTGGAAAACACACGTGGTGCCACGTGAGAGATGTCGTGCGGTTTTTAGCTCTCTGTCTTCTCAGGCGAACCTGACCGGCTGCGACAAAGTCGTCCTGAAGTACAGCATGAACGGCCCGCGGTTCCTGGTAAGTGCCCAGGTGCCCGGATGCCCATCGCCCGGGTCTCATCTCCACCCAGTGCCATCATGTGGCCCAGCTACGCTTAATCTGCATGACGGCCCGGGTGTCTGCATAGTGATCCTGTCAAAATCAGTGTAGAACTTGGCAGATAAGAGAAGACAGATCTTTACTGTTCCATTGGGGACCCCACCCATCACAAAGAAAGACACAAACAAATGAATAATTAAAAATAAAAACAATGCAATAAAACAGAATAGAATAGAATGGAATAGAATATATCCTGATTGTCATTACACATGTAAAATGAAACTGTATGATGCTGGTGGTACAGCTGAGGTTGCAATATGGTCGTAAACATGGTGCGTAATTTGCTAGTGGGGAACTGATGGGTCAAAGAGAGTTGAGTTAGAGGCCTTTTAGGTAAGACAGAAGAACCTCAGCAGAACATCTAGGGAACCAAAGCTTCAGGCATCTCTACCGCCTCGTTCTCACAGTCGAGCCTCACTAGAGTGCAAGAGCAGCATTTCCCAATCCGGTCCTCAGGGGCCGGCAGACAGTCCACGTTTTCGCTCCCTCCCAGCTCCCTTCCAGACAGTGCACATCCTTGCTGTGGGAGCTGGGAGGGGGTAAAAACGTGGACCGTCTGCCGGTCCCCGAGGCCTGGGGTCGCCGAGGACCAGATTGGGTGCTAAAGGGTGAAACTGCAGACCCGTGTCCTGGGTCAACGGTGCAAAGACTCAGCAGGTAACGGGGCCCGGAGTGAACAGCATGTGACCTTCTGATGCTTTTCTCTTCTAGAACATGTCTGACAATGACCTGCAGAAATTTCCCAAACTTCAGCAGCCGTAAGTATTGACAGAGGCGAGAGATTGTTATTATCATCATTAATAACAATAATAATAATAATAATAATAATAATAATAATAATAATCGCATTCACAAGACTAAAGAAAAAGAAAACGCAGAACGCAGAACACAGCACCGATAGGCAGTAGGTTCTCGATCTTTTAGTGAGTGACACGATGCTGAGGCGTATCGTGTGGAGATCTCTGCAGGCCTGCCTCTGTGTGTTCTGCCTCTCCGGCTCGCGTCTGTTTCACAACAAAAGCAGCGAAATGTTAAAACCAGTGTGAATAACTAAGGTCACAGAGCGCAACCAAAGGTGTTTCTGCCGATTTCTATTTTTTCCAACTCGCTCCTTTGCAACCCCACACTCAAACGGGCGACCGCCTATCTCTCCTATAGGGTGGGCCGGCCTTGGATGTCCAACTGCGATTCTAGGCGGAAAGGTGTACGTGCGAGAGGGCGAGGGAGAGAGAACGAGCGGGTGGAACTGCTTTTTTGTTTTTTTATAAAATTTACAGACATTTTAATGACAGGAGGCGAGTGCATTTGGTGCATTAAACTTATTAAAGCATCATATAACATGGTCTGTCCCGCATTAAATAAAACAATATTGCTCCATACATTAGGCATCTTAGCTTAGAGGTAGAGAGGTAAGGAGCATGCACTGATACAGTGCGTAAGGAGCATGCACTGATACAGTGCGTAAGGAGCATGCACTGATACAGTGCGTTGCCACACCC